ACGCCCAACAGGCATGTCCCCGAGTGGCCTATTAGTGTGTGCGTGAGAGCGTGTTCCTCTGCACACAATGGCTAAACCCGGGGACCCCAACCATCCTACAGCCACAAATCATTTTTAAGGCCCTTAATCCAGGAGGTTATTAAATTACACCCCACAAGTCACCATCTGGCTGGGGGAGAAAGGGGGGGTTCCCACGTGGGTGGGGTCTCCTGGCATTTCTCAGATTACACCAGCTTGGATGTCAGTCCCTGGTGACCTACTACTGGCAGAGACCCTCTCTGCCTCCCAGGTCACTCCCTCCCCTCCTCCCCCACACGAGCCAGGTTTCTACTGTTTTTAAGGGACAGGGGAGGAGGTGGATATCAAAAATCAACATTTATGGGATACGTACCACATGCCAGCTCCTCTTCTAGACACTGAGTTTAGCTCACATAAGCCTCATAATAACCTGTAGTAGGAGTTAGTGTGCCCATTGTACAGATTAGGACGTCAAGGTCAAGTTATTCATTGAAGCCAAATCAGAGATTTAAATGCAAGTTTATCTGACTTTTCACATCATGTTCTTTCCACTGAAACCGAAGAATCTCTAACATTCTGGCCTTTGGTCTCTCCAGTTGCTTCTCTCAGCAAAATCTCCCCGCATTTTTTACACATTAACAGTCCTGGAGGAAGAATTATCATTGATCCATGCACACACTGGCACGTCCCACCAGCCTGGTGTCCTGGACAGTCCCCTCCCCATCCTTGGGCAAGGTGGCAGCTGCCCTGTACAAGTGCAGAGCCCACCTCCCGCCTCCATCCTGAACCTCCCGTGGTGGCCCTTGTCCCTTATGCCCATTCTGTCACTGGGAGCTGGCTCTTGGTCAGCCGCTCCAGATTGGTGGCCCCATTAGGCTTAGGCTTGGCTGCTCCTGGATGCTGACTTCTCGACTTGGCTCAGGACCCAAAGAGCTCCCCTTCTCGCCCCAGCTCAGGAAGGCTCCCAGTCCTTCCCTGGTCCAGTGCCACCACATCTGCATCTTCAGGAAAAAGTTTGAGGATGGACAAGTACAGATCTCACTAGAAATCCCAGCAGCCAAGAGCTTGTGATGGGGCTGCTTTACGGAATCCCATGGGAACGCGCACCAGGTCTCACGCATGGTCACATTTAATCCTCACAGTAACTCTGAGCGAGGCAGCATGAGCCCCACCGGCAGACAGGACACGGAGGCCAGCATGAAGCAGGGTGTCTGTCACAGCCAGGGAGCTTCTCTGGGGACAACACTCCATCTGGCTACCAGCAGAGACAGGTTCTCGTCTGAGAGGCCAGCGAGACTTGACCACATCCTGCCCGGCTTTCTCCTGGGCCCCAGCCTGTGTGTGCTGACGCCGAAACACACCCATGCCGAGTCCCCTGACCGCCGCGCCCCAGCCTCTGCCCGTGGCTTCTGCCAGCGTAAGTACTAGTATGGCAACTATTGATATAACAGCAATGCTGTGCCAACAACAGTTCCATAGATTGTGTGTATCTCATATTTTAAATAAATCTAATGTACATATAATCTCAGGCATATATGTAAAGTTCATCTCATCACTAGAGTGATGATGTGGCAACAACTGTACTAAACATTTTATATATAAAATCTCATTTATATAAATACATCTCATTTCTATATCTTCCATATACTTGTATACATCTTATATATAACAGCTCACATACATATACACATACATGTAAATCACATTAAATCATTAAATAGTAACTACCATTGTAAAAATTATGTGTAATGATATTTATACATAATCTTTTATATAAATCTTATGTAAGTAAAATTGTGCATATATATATGCAGATCTCATTGAATTATTAAATAGTGACTATATTAGTAATGATTCTAAGTACTATATATATAATTTCATTTATATATATGTATATAAATGTCACTGCAAATCTCATTTAATCATTAAAAAGGTTATTTGAAATATTACATTATAATCTAATTTTATGTATTAATGTCACATATATATTTAAATAAATCTCATATATACATATACAATCACATATATATGTGTGTGTGTGTGTGTGTGTGTGTGTGTGTGTGTGTAAATCTCATTTAATCATTAAAAAAAAATCCCTACAAGGCAGCACAGCAGTAACCCCCAGAGTGAGGTCAAACACCCCATCCACGTGATACCAGGTCTCAGCTGAGCTCCTGGCAGCCCACTCAAACCTGTTCTCAAAAACGCCCAGAGTTGTCCTTGCCTCAATTAGAGGTAAGTCCAGTGTTCTAGCTGCTGAGGCCCTGAATCCCAGGGTCACCTTTGACTCCTCTCCCCCTGACTCCATAACCAATCCACCAGCAAATCTTGGTCTGCCTTCAAAATCCACTCAGGACGTCACACCTTCCCAACTCAACCACCCCATCCCTGAGTCAAACCTTTACTGAGGGCAGATGGACCATTGCAAGTTTCCTACTGGTCTCTGCTCTCACCTACTGTCACAGAGGGAATTTGTTACAGACAGGTCAGTGAGGCCACTCCTTTCCACATCCTCCCGGGGCTCCCATGTCACTTGGCATGATATCTTGAGTCCCTATCAAGACCCACAAGGCCCTTACACCATGTCTACCACAGGAAGACACGCCAATATATTGAAATCACCACCTGCAAGAGCCTAAAAACTTTCTAGATATAATTTATGTATCTAAGATTTATTAAGAAGGGTTAGAAAGGATTTCTTTGGAGAAAACTGTGCTGTTCCCCACCGTGACACACACACACCTGGAAAGTGAGTGAGGTGGCCTCCCCTCCCATCTGAAGTCAAAGGAGAAGGGAGCTTTGCTGAGGGATTCGCATGTACCCCCTAAATCTTGGGGGACACAGTGAACTGGCATCTGACTCATGCCCAAGAAATTCAACAGACAAGAGATGGAGGCTGACTCTACTCCACTAGGGAGGTGGGCGCTGCTGTTCAGGTATTAGTGTGCACCCCTTATCTGTTTGGGCAGAGGGTGCATGAGTGTTTCCCATGAGCCACACGTGGTCCAGGCATGGCAAAGAGTAGGCTTGGGGATTGTCTTGCCCTAAAGAGGCCAATAGACCTCAACTGGAGAAGTTGGCAGTGGACCACTAGACCTCCAGGGACTGAACAGGAAGTAATGCACTAATGATAGAGAGTTCACTTGGCAATTATGAGACTGGCCACCAACAACTGAGGGAGGTTGCCAATAAACCCATACAAGTTGTGAGAGAGAGATAGGGAGGGAGGGAGAGGGAGAGGGAGGGAGGGACGGAGGGAGAGGGAGGGAGAGAGAGAGAGAGAGAGGGAGAGAGAGGGGGAGAGAGAGAGAGAGAGAGAATCTATGCGGCCCAGAGAATGAAAACCCCTGATGGTCCTGATCACAGCACCATTTGGTCTTTGTAAAATATTTCCTGCTGCCCCCAACCCAACCACAAAAGGCCATGAGGGTCAGCAAGAATGAGTGAAGGCTTTACCTTGAATGCGTTTGGAAGTATCAATACTTAAATGGAACATAGCCATTTTTCATTATTGAATTAAGGCTATGTTTGTGACTTAAGGAACTGCTGCTTACCAAAAATGTCCTTCAGCCTTATCTGTGTTTTTATCGAGGGTTAATATTCCATGAAGCAGACTTAAAGGGACAGTGAGAGAAAATATTAAGTTGCTTTTGGGATTAGACTCCATTATTCAATATACTGGTGAATAAGCATATTCAATATGCTTATTCAACATACTGGTGAACTACCTAATTGTTGATATGTCTGACCAGATGGGCATTTCAGTCCACTTCACTGTTTCTCACTGTTGGGGAAGGGGCCCTTTCGGCATAATATCACGTCACAGTTAGCCTTGAGAGACAAAGGAACACGGATTTGCCTTACAGATGTCACACTTTGAAACATCCGAAGGGCCTCGTCCAATCGACTGGAAGAACCAGAAGCAGTTAGGAGCAAAGGACTTTCCAGGTGTGACCCTGACTACTTAGGATGGAGTCCTGAAGAAGGGACAAAGAGGCCTGCAAAAAAAAAAAAACCAACAACGATGACTATGTCTACGACAACACCAAGAACAGCAGAATGAAAAAGGAAAGGGAGGCCAGCAGGGCGAAGGGAAGCTCCTGGGCTCCAGCCAAGGCCAGCTGGTCCACATGGACTGAAAGGTGACCCAAAGGACACGACAATTAATGGTGCACCAGCTTCTGGACTCTGAAGGGTTCTGTGGCTGTGTAAGGTGTTCTTTCTGGTACTGCACTGTGGACAGTTCAAGAAACCTCTCTCACATGCCGAGACCTCCAAGCTCCTTCACGACAGGACTGAGTCATCTGTATCTTTTAGCAGCGCCCGAGACAGAGCAAGGGGCTCAAAACAGCTGCTGGGTGAAGAGACGGGCAGACAATGAGCTTGTGCAAATCCCTTTCCCAGGATTCCCCGTTGCCACAAACTGCTGAAAGACTTGTTCTGCCTCTTTCCTGCAGCCCCCGCATGTCTCTGGAAGCCAGGGGCCCTCGTCAGTATATGCCTCTCCTAAGAACCATGTCGTGATGACCCAGCAAAGAGATCATGCAGGTGAAAGGACTACATAATTCCACAGTGACAAATGTCATTGTTAGCCACATGTAGCAGCTGGGATGGTACAAAATCGAACTCCATAAAGGTTTATCCACGGAGGGAGTCCTGTGCAAGAAAACTTTCTGGGCATACCAGGGAAGGGGTGAATGCTCATTTCAACTCCCTGAAAAGTAATCCCATGCCCCCTATTTTAGGGTCCTCTGGAATCAAAACAGTTGCCTCCCAGTGATGACCCGCCTGAATAACTGAAGCCTCAAGCCAGACGTGGGTGGGAGTACCTATGCTCCCCAGGAACCCGGACACAACCTAGAATCATCAGATGCCTCAACCCCCTGGAGGCCCCAGAAACTTCTCTGTTCAGAAACCACAGAACCTGTTTGTGAATGTCACGTATGGGCTGCAAAGTGGGGGAACACAGGCAAATGCAGACGAAGTTTCAACCTTTTTATTCAAAGCAGCTTTTCACAATGTATAAATACTGCATATTAGCACACATGAAAATACAACTTCTAAGGCACCCAGAAATGTGTTCATACACGTTACAGGACCATTCACAAAGAGAGTGTACAATTTGCTCTAGACAGTCAGCATTTGATAAACCAGAAGATTATTATCCCTCAGTACTGCACCCATTCTCGGGAAATATTTACAGCGTGGTGAGAACGGGTCAGCCGTACCTGCTTTATAATTCTATGAAGTACTCATACTTACAAATATTCAGAACTAGTTAAAGACTCTCCCATGATAACCTGGCAAAAGAAAACAAGTAGCCTAACTTGCAAAGGTCTCCTTGGATTTTGGTGTGTGTGCTACATCCATGTTCAAACCCAAACACTCCGAGGGTGGGCTGGATAAGTTTTTGGTAGCCTGCTTCATTATCAGAAGTTTGGTAATAAGCCTTACCACTAGAATCCCACTTCTTCAGCATCTGTCATTTCTCAACCAGTTAATGGATCAACGATTTCATCATGAATAAGAAGGGAGCATCACCCGGTGTGAGAATGGAAGAAAATCCTTCTCACACTGAACAGGGACTGGAATGGGTCAATGGAGAACAAAAGGACGTGGAAATTCGGCAATTGCAGGATCGCTGCTCAGTGGAGACACACCTGAAAAACTCGCACTGGAGGTTCCTTATCAGGTGGAGCAGTCTACACTGGTGAGAGAACCTGGAAGAATGCCAGACCTCCACTTTTGATGATATGGACAAAGGCTGGGACTGCACAGCAAAAACACCCACCTGAAATAGCAAGTTTCCATCTGAGAAACCCATCTTTCAGAGCCTTCTCAAGGTGACAACAAATCCCTGTGGATGGCCAGCCAGGGGCAGCGTGAGGTTGGTGGGAGTGGGCAGTTTCTCTGTGCCATGAGGCATGCACACCTCTGCCTAGATGTGCCTACAATCTATGAAACTCATGCTTTGTTGAAATAATGCAATTCTTTGGTCCTTGGTTTTATGAAAGGCAATCTTTTCACAATCCTGTCTCCGTGGACAGCAAATGACTTCAGCTGGAACTAATGGCACAGGGACAAATGAAATACTAGGTGGAAAACGCTACACCCTCCCAGCTTCCCAGTCACTTTAAAGAGCTCTAGCAGCAGGCCAGGTGTTGGGCCAGCGAGGCATGGTCAGCCCATGGAGATGCCAGAGCTGAAGCTTAAAACTAGGTGTCAGTTTTTCTGATTGCTACACATACTGCAAACATGTGAAGCAAATCTCCATCCTAATGGTAGATAAGTTGACTTTATGAACATCTGTTTGAGAGAAACCAAATAACATTAGCCATACTCTAGGTCATCTTTAAAGCCTTCTTAGTAAGGAGAATTGGTTGGTACCTATGGAAGTGTGACCGACTGAAAGGACTCAGAATTAAAAAAAAAACAAAAAAAGAAAGTCCAAATTTGAGTTGGTTTGATTAGATCCCAAAGAGTGGGACGCACCACCAATGAGCTCCACAACTTATGCTCCATTAAAACAGCCCTGTGGGGACTGACTCAGCTGATGTGTACGTTCTGCATCTAGTTTGCCTTTGCCCTGCTCAACTCGGGTTTAGTATGGCTTAACACACACAGTGCACTGATAAGACACTCAGGACACATGGAAATGCTGATTATATAACTGAAATTGACTTCAGATTGTCTACACAGTAAGACTCACATGTAAACTTTATTCACATCTCTCAAGGAATGCTGATCTCAGCCAGGCTGGACGTTTCCAAGTCATCCACAAGGGACCTGGGGGTCAACTGCCAAGGTCAGGAGCAGGAAACGCCACTTGCTCAGAACAAACGATGGACCAGCAGCCCTCCCCTGTGACCATGTCTAAACCATGTGAATAGTACAAAGGTGGCTCCGGAAAACCTGTCCTTGGTCCCTTTGGATGGCCAAAGAGAATCACCAAGGTGCCTACTTGGCCCCTGCCGCCATCAACTCAACCAAACTCTTCAGATCAGCCATGACTTATGGACTGCACTGAGTCCATTAACATGGCTTATGTTGCTTGTAAGAAACAACCCGTATTACCTTTTTTTTTTTTTTTTGCAACAAGCTTAAGGCTCTCTTCACAAACTCCACCAACTGCCACACAGTGAAAATTTATGGGGAGATCTTAGACTAACATATGTAGTTGCAAAGGTTGGAAAATTTACTGATCCTAATGGTAAGGCTTATTCACAAATTCAATACATTTTCAAATTATACTTCAAGAAAAAAAAATTAACCTGTTCTCTAGCAATATAAGAACATTAGAGTCTAATGACAAATAAACCAAAAAACCAAAAAAAATTGGCACCAAACCAGTATGCTATTTTTTGAAAGAACAAGTGATATTAATGGAAAAGATTGCCTAAAACGCATATCCTAACTTAGCACAGAAATATAAAAGTTTATATTCTGAAAATATATACTGTATTAAAGTCTGTAAGCATTTCAACCAAAATTTGCAGAAATAACTAAGCAACACTTATCTACAACAAAAATATACATGCAAGACAACCCCCAAACGGTTTCCCTTAAATATCTACAAAGGCAAAGTGTAGATTTGGAAAGATTATACAAAACCATTTACAGAGAATAAAATAAAATACTTAAGAAATCTCATTTAGAGTCTTAAATACTGTGTATATTAGTGAGAGTGTCTAAACTAATATATACAACAGATCTAAGTGTCTGAATTCAGAAACACCGAAGAGAAGCAATTCTGCATTTTAAATATTCACTTAGGAAGATTGGAAGATGTGTATATTTGTTTCTCTTTGTTAAAAAAATTGTTTCCCACAGAAACTAGATTGTAAAATTGCATGAACGTGACAACCTCAAATTAAAAAAAGTTTACAAAATGTTTTGAACCAACAGTTAATAATGGGAAATGCAATTCAGCATTCAGTCGCGGTTATTTTTAAATGTGGATACTCAGAGATACAGTCGCATTGATCTGAGTCTATTGTGATTACTATTTTTCCATCTTCATACTAAATTTCATATGGAAAAAACATTTTCATGCTTCAGAGAGAACATTTCCTAGTTTAATCTACATTGAATAAGAACAACATTTTAAATCAATTCTCTACTACCTTCTCATAGTTATCCAATTTCATTCTTAGAGGGCAATTTGTGATGGTTTTTACCCACAGATATTATTCCAAAGCCAGAAGGGACACGTGGGTACATGAGCTTCCAAATGGTGAGGAGCTCTGATCACCTCAGCAAAGGTGGACAAAAAGTCCTCTTGGAATGGGGCTAACTCAGATGGCTGTGCGACGAGGTGCTGGAGACTAGTCAATGGGGGTTGGAACAGAGAGGGAAGGAGAGCTCTAATCCATGGCTAACAGGACGACAAGGAGTGGACTGCCTAAAAGGTCCCTTGACTAAAGAGGTACGCTTCACTTCCACCCATAGCTATTATCCATCCCCACAGGTAATTCTGGGATGGGGATGCCCAGGCTCTGGGAAGTGACAGACACGGGGTGGGGTGGGGTGGGGGTAAAGCAAAGCAGGGAGTGAAGCAAGGATCCTATGGGTAGAGAGAGGGTGCAGGGATAGAAGATAACAAACGAAAGCCTGAGCCCTATCTTGAGAAAGCTATTAGGACAAACACTGACACACCCACAGGTCTGGCATTTTTCCATCCCAGGTCAATTTGCTATGTAAGTTATGTGGATTTCATCTACACATTATCAAAACAACTATCCAGAAAGTGAAAAATCCATCAGTCTACACTGTAATAAACAGATTTAACCAACTTTTGCCCAATTTGTGGAATATCCTTCTTGAATTGACTATATAGGAACAACCAAAACATAGACCATCTTTTAAAATACCTCCTATTATAACCAGAACGTACAAATGAACAACAGTAATTCTACCTTAGCAATGGTTTTTCACATTCCTACCTTATCATCAGAGATCCTTAAAATGTTTAGAGGTTTGGATGTGTGATATGTCCAAAGCTAAAATATTTCTGGTGCTTTCAGCAGGGAACCAAGATGAACATTGATCAAAAGGAATTTGCAAACATTTTCTTCAATCTCCAACAAGAATCCTGATACTGCTTCTATGGTAAATGTATCCGCCCCAGAAGATAAACAGAAAGCAAGGGTCTCTTTCTTTAGAGGAGTTAGCCATGCTGGAGATTATCTACCACGACACACAAGAATGAGGTTTGGAAAAGCATTCATTTGCTTTCTCAAAGGAAGAGACAAAACCCAAGTGGAAATGTGACAAATAGGCATTTGGGCAAAAGCAGGTGTTTCCCTAGAGTAATTCCCTAGAGTCTAGGTCTGCAGTTCCTACAAGATCCCACGTGGACTAAGAAGAGGGTACACTGCACTTCAGTTCCATCTTCCTCTGGCTAGATTCAGCCAAGGTCGTTGTCCCCTGCTGGCTCACCATGGCCAAGATGGCAGAAATGGAAGAAGGGAGAAGATAAGAAGCTACTTCCTCCCTGACCCTCATGAAGTCAGGGGGAAACTCAAAAATAGAGAGGCTTTCTACAGAGGAGGAACCAAGGCCGTCTTCAGGATCAAGAGTCCAGGTAAACTGCAGATTCCCTGTCTAAAGGACCACGTCTCTAGTCATAGAACTCAACATGTTCTCTGAAACACAAACTCAGCGTATTCTCTGAAACACAAAGCTGAGAGCCATGAATTCTCTCTCTCTGTCTGGCCCACTGCATCTGGTCACCTTTAAGAGAGAAAAAAGGACCAGAGAGAGACAGATAACCACAGCAATGACCCTCCTTTTCTCAGCCCACGTCCCTTCCCCCAACTGTGCCCAACTCTCACTGCTCCACTCAGCTCTCTCCAAGGAAGGGAAAAGAGAGGATAGCGGCTAACATAAGGAAAGAGAAGATGGGTGACCAAAGGGCTTCTGAGGACACTCAGGGCTTGTGACGGAAATGGAAAAATCCCGCCACTCTGAGAATCCAGCTTCTCTGGGTGCTTGACCAGTGGCAGGTTTGAGGCTCACACAGATCATGCTCCTGTCATTCCTCTGCTCTAACCTTGATGTTTACCTTTCTACTCATCAACCATAATCAAAACCACTCCTCCTCCATAGCCGATCCACAGAGTTTGGGCTGATGGTCTGAATACAGGGGTGCTCATGCAGCCCACGGGCCCTGGGGCAGGAGACTTCATCCCTGGTTATTGCTCCCTGATGTGAGGAAACAACTAGAAAAAAAGATGGATCATCTGAGCTTCTGAATGCAAAAAGATTCAGACCTTCTACTTACTGATAGCTGAACAGAATGGGAATGCGTCCCACCTCCCTAGAAAGCCAAACCAGACATCGCTGCCTACGTGGAATGGACGAACTCTGAAATCCAAGTTCAGTCATTTGCCCCAAAGAAAAAAGTCTTACTCTAGGCAGTGTGCAATCCCCAGGTGGGGCCTAGTCCCCACCTCTTCCTGATGTCACACAATTAGGGACTGGGTGTCTCAGTACCATTCAGGCTGAAGGCCCCTTTATCTCCTTAAAGGAAGCAGCATGCAGAGAAAGCTCCTCTGCGATTTCTCCTAAGAACAGTATTCAATTATTACAGCTGAGAACTATTTTATACACAAAGGATCTGGTACAGAGCTATTGTTTTTATCCACAAAAATCCTTCCATTTTTGTCTCTCTGAATTCTATTTCTACATGGTTCATTGCTAGAACGCACTAAAGAGCACGAACCTTGTATGGAATTTGGTCCAGGGCAGTATGAAAATAATATCTGTGTGAACGACAGATATCATAATATACAAACAAAAATAAATAAATTAAATAAGTCTGATTAAAGAAAAAAACCATTTTTCCTAGGTCATGTTTTTGCAAAACTAGCTTTACATATAATACACATAAATTATCAGAATTTCCACTTACATTGTTTTAAAAATATATATTTAACAAAACATTATCTAGGTTTGTAAATCACTTAGTTGGGTTTTAAGACCAAGCCCTACAAGTCACACAGATATGCATCAGAGAGGCGACCGAGGCTGGCTCTACACAACGGTCTTGCTCATTGGTCTGTAAATTCCCTACGATGGATTGTCCCCTGTCACCAGATCTGCACCTAATCAAAGAGGGCATGAGCCAAATCTCCAAATCAGAGGCACTGTGTAGACACAGTCTGAGTCGGAAGAATGGGGGACAGTGATCTTCCCCTTCCTGGACCAAGATGGTGCATTTCAGCAAGTAGGGACAGGACGGTACCTGGCGGAGGCCTGGGAAGATATAGCCCTCAATAGCTCTCTAGCTGGTTAGGGGTGGGGCATGGGAAAAGCTAAGTCTGCTGCGTTTCCCATCTGTTACACAAAATCAAACCAATGAGGAACAACCAAAGGACACAAGGAGATGAACACAACCCTAGGGATAGAGACACCTTGACAAAACCCTTGGCAGGGCATACACTGGACTCCGATTTCTGAAACACAGGGCAAAGCTGGAAGTCAGGTGCCCTTGATCATTGGGGCAAATGGGCCGGGACCCTTCAGACTTCGTAAATTTTGTCCTGCAGGTAGCTGAACAGGGAATCCAGGCCTTTGGAGGAGCTCCACAGTTGCTTGAGCATGAGGCATTCTTTCTCATTCACATCTTCAAGCACCGATTTCAGGAAGCTCCGAACGAGGCATTTTGACTCCTCCAACACCTAAAGGGAAATGCACAAGCCTAGTTAGCTGGGCACCGGGGATTCTGCTGCAGAAGCACGCACTTGGCCTCTGAGGCACCAGTTAACCTTCCAATGTCCAAGGCCAGAGGAGGCTGCTTCCCAGGCCCATGTCCCAGCAATGCTGGAAATGGATTCCAGGCATGACATGATGTGGAGCCCCAAGTCCCGGGATGGCTGAGTGGGGCCCAAGTCACCCCCAACTGCAAGACCTTTGTCTTTTACCCAAGGGTGATATAAACTCAGCATCATTTTCTATGGGTGTCATGAAGAAGCTTGGGAAACACTATTTGCATCTCCCTGAGCTTCCTTTTCCTCATCTGTGAAACAGGAAAAATGATACCTCACTCAAGCATGGTTGGGATCACAGAGTAAGATAATGAAATGAACTAATGGTTGTCTAAGTATACATAGAACCCACCCCAAAAGCAATGCCCCTCGTTCAGGCTTAGTAGCAAGAGAAGCCGTAATAATAGTAGCAATCATTGTAGTAATGAGTAATAATAAACATAATTGTAGTAATGGGTAATAATAGTGAGAATAACAATACTATAGTATTATAGTGGTGACAATAGTAGTAATGTTAGTAATATAGTAGTAGTAATGGTAATGATAGTAATAATACTATAGTATAGCAGTAATTATAGCAGTAATATTAGTAATGCCATGGTAATAATAGTAATAATCATAGTAATGAATAACAACAATATAGTGATCACAGTAATAATAACAACAATGCTACTACAATCACCATGAATTAATAGGGCCTACGAGAAGTACTTTTCCTGCATTCTTTCGTTTCTTGTTCATAACAGCTCCACAAATAGGTAATCTCCGTATCACAGATGAAGTGCCTGTGCTACATAAGGTAACATTGCCCAGAGTCCCCTGACGGAAGGGGCTTGCCGACATCTGGCTGATTCTGACAGGCCGCACTGCTGCCTCCCTCGGGCAGAGGCTCTGCCAGGAGGGGTGGCATCCAAGCATCCTTCCACTGGCTTCCACCATCCTCTGCTGGCATCAAGGCTTCAGTTCACTCTCTCCCAAAGCGCTTTCAAATAGAAAAAAACAAAACAAGAGTTCCCTTGCTCAAGCAGGCGGGAAAGGGGCTGTGACCATATTCTTCATCTTGGGCTGGAGGCTAACAGGTGGTGAGAGTGGGCTGGCAGACCGAGAACTCCTCTGAAGAACACCAACTCCCAGAGGTTGTGGGGTAGGTTACTTTCTCGAGCAAATCAACCCAAAGCTCCTGAATTCCTAACTGTTGAAAGGAGAGATTTCCTTGCAGTATTTCTTCAACAGCTGGTTTCATCTGAGTCCCTCCATTGCCCAAAGTCCGGACTCCTCAGTGGAGTTTCGAGGCCCTTCTCTTAACTTCCTTTTCAGTCTTACTGTCCCTTGAATACCCTGTGTACCTGCTCACACCACCGTGAGTTGCTACCTCAGCTCCACGTGGGTTTTCAGACTCATGTGCCCTCACTCATGATGTTTCCTCTTAGAATTTCTACCTGCCTCTCCAAATTGGAACAGAAGAAGTAAAACTGTCACTATTTGCAGATCACATGATATTATATATAGAGAGAAAATCCTAAAGACTCACAAAAGAACCAGTTAGAACTAATAAATTAATTCAGCAAAGTTGCAGGATACAAATTTAATGTTCATAAATTTGATGCATTTCTATACATTAAAACGAGCTACCAGAAAGAAAAAGTAAGAAAAAAAAATCCCATTTATAATTGCACCAAAAAGAATAAAATACCTTGGAATAAATTTTCCAAGAAGGTGAAAGACCTCTATTCTAAAAACTATAAGACACTGATGAAATAAATTGAAGAAGATACAAATAAATGGAAGGATATACCATGCTCATGGACTGGAAGAAGTAAAATTGTTAAAATGTCCATCCTACTGAAAGCAATCTATAGATCTAATGCATTCCCTATCAAAATACTAATGGCATTGTTCACAGAACTAGAACAAATAATCCTATAATTTATATGGAACCATAAAGGACCCTGAATTGCCAAAGTGATCTTGAGAAAGAAGAACAAAGTTGGAGGTATCATGCTCCCTGCTTTCAAACTATATTACAAAGCTCTTGTAATCAAAACAGTGTGGTACTGGCACAAAAACAGACACATAGATTCAATGGAACAGAATAGAGGGCCCAGAAATAAACTCATACTTATATGGTCATTCTACAACGAGAGGCAAGAATATACAATGGAGAAATGACAATCTCTTCAATAAATGGTGTTGGAAAAACTGGACAGATACATACAAAAAAAATGACTCTGGACCACTTTCTTATACCATATACAAAGATAAACTCAAAATGGATTAAAGACTGAAATACAGACCTGAAACCATAAAACTCCTAGAAGAAAACACAGGTGGCAAACTCTTTGACACCAGTCTTAGAGATACTTTTTTGGGGTATGTCTCCCTGGGTAAGGGCAACAGAAGCAAAAATAAACAAATGGGACTACATCAAACTAAAAAGCTTTTGCACAGCAAAGAAAACCATCAATAAAGTAAAAAGACAACCTACTGCATGGGAGAAGGTATTTGCCAATGATATGTTTGATAAGAGGTTCATGTCCAGAATACCCAAGGAACTCACACGGCTTAATAAAAAATAAAAAAAAATCCAATTAAAAAAAGGGCAGAGGACCTGAACAGACATTTCTCCAAAGACATACAGATGGCCAATAGACATATGAAAAGACGCTCAACGTCACTAATCAAAACCACAATAAGAGGGCCGGCTGAGTGGCGCGATGGTTAAGAACTGGCCTGGGACGCCAGAGGGCCTCGGTTTGGATCCCACATATGAGGGCCAGTGACACTGCCCTCTACAGCTAAGATGCTGAACAACAGCTCAACCTGGAACTGGGCTGTCGTGAGTCGCCAGCAATGGCGAAGGCTGCAGCCCCTGCTGCAGTGGATTGCCATGGACTACCGTGTATAGCCAGCAGCCAGCGTGAGCAGCCAGCAGCCACAGTGAGCAGCCATCCAGAAGCCAGCGACTGATCTGCCTTGCCCGGGAAGAGCGCAATGATGGTGCCAACTTGGGCCAGTGAAGCAACATCCTCCACAACTAGAGTGAAGAACAAAAAAAGGACAGCAACTTGTCTGTTCCCCTTCCCCCGATTCCCCAGCACTGTTCCCATCCCCCAATTCCCCAATAAAAATCTTAAAAAACAAAACCACAATGAGATATCACTTCACACCTGTCAAAATGGCTATTATCAAAAAGTCAACAAATAAGAAGTGTTGGAGAGCATGTGGAGAAATGGGAACCCTCATGCACTGTTGGTAGGAATGTAAAATGGTACCGCCACTATGGAAAACAGCATGGAGGTTCCTCAAAAAATTAAATATAGAACTACCATATGACCCAGCAATTCCACTTCTGGGCATTTATCTAAAGAAAAAGAAAACACTAATTCTAAAAGATATATGTACCCCTATGTTCAGTGCAGCATTATTTACAATAGCAAAGATATGAAAGCAACCTAGGTGCCCACTGATAAATGCACAGATAAAGCAGGTAATATATACGCGTATATACAGTGGAATATTACTCAGCCATAAAAAGAATGAAATCTTGCCATTTGTGACAACATGGATGGACCTGGAGGGTATTATGCTAAGTGAAATAAGTCAGACAGAGAAAGACAAATACTGTATGATTTCATTTATATATGGAATCTTTTTAAAAAAAGGAACAAACAAAACAAAATAGAAACAGATCCATGAATACAGAGCAATAACTGACGGTTGCCAGAGGAGGGAGGATAGGGGAACGGCTGAGAAGGTGAAGGGGAATAAGAGGTACAAATTTCCAGTTATAAAATAAATAAGTCATGGAGATGTAATGTATAGCACAGGGAATATAGTCAATAACATGATCATAATTTTGTATGGTGACAGATAGTTACTAGACATATTGTGGTGACCACATCGTAAGGTATATAAATGTAGAACCACTATGTTGTACACCTGAAACTAACATAATACTGTATGTGAACTATACTTCAATATTTTAAAATTTTCTACCTGCCTCTCTGTGCAGCTGTCCCAGGGTCATCAGCCATCCCTGTTTGCCCAGGATCATGGGGTTTCCTGGGATGAGGGATTTTCAGTGCTAAAACCAGGAGGGGCTGAGGCAAAGTGGGATGAGATGGTCACCACAGTCATCAGGAAGATCAAAAGAGAATCCAAATAAAGAGACACGCAAATGGCCTGGCCCATAATAGGAGTTTATCAGCAATGTAGGACCCTTACCACCCCGTCACCATCACTGGTACTGTTAGGCTTCCAGCAAGCAGAGCTCACATACAGTAGGTGCCCCATAAAGGCTAACGAGGCAGGTCAGGAGAGGCCTGACGGCTGGGCGTTCAGGGTAGAGGGGAGGAGGAAGGGAGGGTCGTGAGTCTGGCCCCATGAATCCAGCACAGAAAGAGTCCCCTGGCCTGATTCTCCCAAAGCGCCTTTCTCATTTCCTGAGCGGGCCCTGGGGTTCCGGGAGAGGCCTTTTCTCCACCTTTCAACAGGATATTTCCATAGTCCTCGGAGTGACTTTTATGAGATAAAATCGACACTTAATTAAAAATCGGCGCCTGTGTGAAGGTGTTATTTATTTATCTATTTTTCAACGTGTCTTAGGAGTCAAACGGGGACGTTTAAATGTGCCAAGGGCTCGGTGGGCAGGAGGAATGAAATACAAGGAGAGTGTGGGCTGCTTTCTCTTGTCTCTTGGCTGGTTTAATACACTGTCCTATTGCCTTTGCTTCTCGTTTCTTTGAAAACCATAGATATTTGTGTTTGGGGGGTTTTAGGACTTCCTTTTAAGGCAGTGCACTCCACCCCAGAGTGTAAATCTCTTCTGTGAGGTTTTCCAAACTAGAGTATCTAATAACACTGACCACCTCCCTCTGGATTTAAGTTCTCAACACTGAGATGAGGCATCTGCTAAATTCCACAGGGCCTTGCAATGTACTCCTTCAGCAAGTCCATTCATCCCTCTGGGCCTCATGGCCCTCATCTGTACAATGGGTCTGTTGCAACAACAAGCACACAAAGACACAGGAACTCACCACTGCGCTGCAGGACGCCATCTCCTTGACCCGCAGCATGACCTCCTGACTGAAGGTGGTTGGCCAGAAGACCTGGGACACAAGTCCTCTGCTGCATGCCTCCTGGGCAGTGAGCTTCCGCCCACAGAAGAGCATCTCATTGGCCTGAAAAAGCAAAGGCAGGCTGAGAGCCTGGGGCGCCTCCCGTATCTGTCAGTGAGGTCTGGGCTTGCAGTGTGCAAGTGTCTCAGATCTCAAAGGCAGGATTCTTAATCAGGGGTCCAATAAGCTTTGGGAACTGCAAGCAAATGTTTCTGTCTATGTGCATCTCTCTGAGCAGAGGGTCCACAGCTTTCACTTAAATTCCCAAAAGAAGCCATGTACCTATTGTGGCTTCGTTGGCCCAATACCACTCCCCACATCCGGCTGAACACCCACAGGAGTGGGCACGCACCTCAGGCTGGGTGGGTGCATTTCTATGCTGATCCCCTGGCCATGATGACTGCCCTGGGATGAACAGATAATCTACCCTAAATCATAAAGCTATGAGGTTTCCAAGCTGGAGGTGATGGGGAAGAATCGTTCTCCCTCTCTGGTTGCAGGATGAAGTCAGTGAGCCCAGGGCCACCCACTACTATGTCCCCACTCTGTGGAGAGGCAGGTCCACAAAGAAAGGAGGAATGGAGAACAGGAGTACTGAGGGTATTTAAATTATTGGACCTGTCAGCCCCTAAGGGACGTTCCCCTGCTGGACTTTTTTTTTTTATTCCCTCTTTAAACTGAGTGAAAATGTTTCCATCAGTGGCAGCCAAAGAGATCGTGAGTAATACCATAGGGCCAACACAGGGGAATGTCTCTCCCGATGGCCCAGGGCTGTGCACAGGCACTGCCCGCTCTTGAAGGGCGGAAAGCACCCCCAGGCGTCCCGAGGGCTCCTCTGCACCCCACTCCCCAGAGAATTTCCTTTTGCTTTGAAGTTCACAGCTGCCATATATGTTTGGGGGGAGCTGCATGGATAAGGTCCTAGGCACAGACAGCACAGAGTCGTCAACGCTGAAGCTTACCAACAGGTGACACTCGCTCTGATCATCAGGGCGTAATGGACACAGCCATGTGTCAGGGTCCTTACCTCCTTCAGGGCGAATCCTCACCTCCTTCCCAGGGCAGAGAGCCCCTTCCCTAACCTGCCATCCGCCTGCCTCCCCCACTCTTCCGCCCTGCCCCACACGCTTGGCCAACTCTTGGATCGATGTTGAAATGCCAAGCTCTCAGCCTCGGCAGTCAGGCAGTTTTCCACTCTGTTCCGGTGAACACCGATGGGTCATGATGACCCAAAGGACAATCCTTCATGCCAGAGTGGAAACATTGATCAGGTCGGTAATAAGCCCATAGTATGCGCTTGGTTAGAGGTTGGAGGACAAATATGTGTCATTATACTTATTTAGCAACGCCTCTGTCTCAGGAAGGAGGAATGAAGGGAACTCAGGGGAAGGAGTCAAACGAGACACAGTCAGCAAGAAGAACATGTCTCAACCAGCAACACTCCTGGAGTTTCAGAAATAATCGAAATGAAAGAAAGAAAGAGATAAGACGGTACAATGTTAACATTTTTGTGACCACAAAGGATGGAGAGGAATCGGTGTGCCACTGAGTTCGGGCAGAACACAGTGGCTGAGAACAAAGGCAAAAGGGTTTGCTTCCTGGGCTCCCCACCTGCCTCCTTTTTCTGCCACGGGTGAGACAGTGAGCAGCCGAAAGCAGCTCGGAGTGAGCTGCTGAATCTGGATGGCCTTATCTGTCCCACACGGAGGCCCTGCTGCGAGACCAGGAGGTGCTGGGGGGTTTGGGGGCTGAAGGTAACCTCCGCTGGTCTCTTAGTTGCTATTTTGGTTTCATGCTATCATCAAAGAGAGACAGGCTACCCAGAAGGGATGGGATGGGGGCCGCATCCTACTGGACTCACTCAGGGAGCCGCCTCTAACTGCCCCCCTGTGGGGTTTGGCCCTATTATCTAGGTCATGATTCTTTGGTAGTTTTCTGGGGTCTCCAAGGACCACCAGTATCTGTGGGCAGAATTCTCCCAGCAGTGCTAGGGGGGCACTGGCAAACCGCCCCGTGCAGATCTTGGTGAAGCCCACACCACACCGCACTGCACCGAAGCCACCTCAAAATGCCCCCTCACAGACCACCTAGGCCAACCACACTCACCGCCATGTCCTGGCATGCTAATCTCAGACATGCTCCTCAGAGGCAGGCTCTGCTTCATAGCACACTGGCTAAGAGCACAGACTCTGTGATCATGTCCACCTGCCATTACCACTGGGTGACCTTGGACAACTCAAACCTCTCTGATTCTCCGTGCCCACACATCTGTCAAATGGGGATAACAGTTGTTCTTCCTGCCTTACAGGGTGGTGGTGAGGATGCACTGAGTTAATGGCTGTCCAGCACTCACCCAGTGAGCTGTTATTATGACTCACCCTGCACAGGCTTGCTTCTGGCTGCTGGTGCAGAATCTGACCACAGCCTACAATGGCCCCTGTGACCTTGCTCGACCACTGCTCTGCCTATTTATGGGGAGGCTTACCAGCGCAACGCCCAGGATCTGGGGAAAGGTGTAGGACGAGCAGCCGGCGGGCGTGAGGCGGATGGTGGCGTAGGGGGTCTGAAACCAGGCCTTCTCGCTGGCCCACACGATGTCGCAGAGGGGCAGGATGGAGGCACCCAGACCCAGGGCAGGCCCGTTGATCGCCACCACGATGGGCTTCTTAAACTGGATAAAGGCCTTCACAAAGTCCCTGGGGGGAAAGAGAAGACCCGCTTTAACAGATGACCAGGCTTGCCAAGACCACCCCTGGTTCTTCCCAGGCTGAAAGAAGCTTCCGCAGGTGCTGGGAAGCAGCCCCAGGTTGTCGGAGGTGAGTGGGTGCTGGGCAAGGGTCTCACTCTCCCAGACACCAAGCCACTGAGCTGCAGTCACAGGCCTGGCACACTCAGGGGTTGGTGCCAGATTTTCAGAGGGGACCTGATGGGGTGACCTCATGTCTGGGTCTGCTCAGATGGCCCAGGTCATGCTGTTGTGCCAGCACTGCACGAGTTACCCTGTCCTTCCACTCCCTACATATTGACAAGATGTAAATATCCTAAAGAAGACAACCCGAATGTTCAGGTTCAGAACCAGAACCAGAACCAACAGGAGGATGTTACAAACAGGCATATTTGAGCTCAAGAGAGAAGGAATGTTCCAACGGCCCTGGCTGAAGGTGGAATGGGGGGCTTCCGGAGGTACGAATTCCTCATTATTGGGAGTAGTCCAACTTTGGCTCGATGATCACTTTGGGTGATGGTGTAGAGGGAATTCAAGCTACAGATGGTGGGCAGAGGTGGAGACTGATGATATTTTGGATTCTTTTCAATACCGGGATTGTATGATTCTGAATTACCTAAAGGATGCCAGGTTCATCAAGGGTCTATGTGTTAGGGTGGCTCTGACCGAAACTGGGGAAAGATGCTGGACTCCCCTGGAGGCACGAGGCATCTGGAATCATGGCTACAGGATTAGCCAACATTTTCTCTCTGTGACCTTGTGCACTGAGCAAGGTCACAGCCTCCATCTTTAACTATTAAGCAGAGCCACCTGCAATAAGCTGTACTTCCTTTGCCTTAGGACGCTTTTTACCTTCCCCCGTTTGCTATATGAGATTTTAGTATTCATCTGGGCATGGAGAAAAGATCCAACACGCCTAGTAAAGCTTGAATCCTTCATTATTCTCAGGTGGTAGACTGGAAACTACCAAGAACTCACAAGGACATCCAGACTCCCAACCATGATCTTGGTCTGCCTCTGCTTACGTCTCTAGGCTTAGCTTGTGTCACTCACACCCCTGCTCTCTGTGCGGTGCGGGCCTTCTGAGAGTTCTTGGAAAACACCATTACCACAATTTGCAATTATCCTAATTACTTGCTTGCTTACTTACTTCAGCTCCTTAAAAAAGCCCATAGGTCTGTCTGGTGCACTGCTTGGTCTCCATACATGTTGAAATTAACACTCAGTAAACAGCTGTTGAATATAGGATTCCCCCAGAACAAGAGTAAAGACTGCAGATGTGTAGCAGTGATGCACTAGCTACTCACTATACCTGATGTCCTTCCCTCTTCTTCTTAAGGCTAGTGCTAGAACACATTTCCCAGTCTCCCTTGCAGTTGGCCATGCCAAGTAACCAAGTGCTGGCCAACGGAATGTGAACGGAAACCATATATAAACTTCTATGGCTGGTGCATGGAAACCTCCCACCATGCAGTTCTTGGAGCCCTTTCGTCTTGAGAAAATAGCAATCTTGGAAGATATTTGTTGAGCCTCAAGACGGAGGGAATCTGGGTTCCTGGGTTACCACTTGGAGGACAGCCATGGACTGATCTGTAACATCTGGTTCAGTTCACATATTTGAGAAGTAAATGTCTATCACAACTGGGCCATTATATCTATATTTGGGGTTTATTTGTTACAGCAGCTAGTACTTAACTAACACAAATGTTGAGCAGATTCATCCCTTCTCAATGGTTACCACTCCTCCCCAATTCTTATCAAAAGATGGGGGTATCATGGTGATAGGTTGGGATCAGATTCAATGGTGAGGAGACTGCTTAATATTCCAGCTGGGGTTGGGGCTACCTTATGACCCATATGTCCTCATGAATATATGCATCCTTGACCCAGGCTTGAGGCATCACATTTCCTGATTCCCGTGTGACTCTCTGAGTAGATGATGGAGTGACCCCAGCCACTGCTGGCCCCACTGCAGCAGACCCCAAAAGGACGCTGCTACAAAGAGGGAGTGCTGGTACCATGACCCTCTGATTCCTGATTTTCCAGTGGCCTATTTACTGGCTTGACTTCCTAACCTCATGGCCTCAGTCACCGGTTTTACCCAATGTTTTTTACCAAACATAATTTGCAATCTTCCGGGAATACAGGGCTTCTTTGCAAGGTCCTTGGAACCACGGGGTTTAGGTAATTTTCAATAGACATTCGATTCCTAAAGACCCTCATACAATTCCAGGACCTTGGAACTAGAGTTGGGAAGGACTTCAAGAGTCATCGAGCCAAATCTTCCACTTGGTGCAGAATTCCTCCCATAGCATCTGGCCTCTGTTGAACATTTTCAATAAGAGGCTCTGTCCCTATCAAGATGCCTTCCTGTTGTAACCTCATATAGGCTTCTCTGATACTCCCATTCACTCTGTTTCGTCATCCACCTGACAATCCTTCAGAAATTCACCTTACCCCTCACAACCTTCCAGAAGCTTCCCCTTCCAGGCCCCAGAGCCTTTCGCTTTTTGGTTTCCAACCTGAGCTTTGTGCAGGGGTGACAAGGACCCCAGAGGAGGATTAAGGGGACCAGGTGTGCACATCTCTGCCCCTCCACCCCCAACCCCTCCTGTCAGTCCAAGCAGTTTATTTCCTTGATATGAAAATGTGACGTGCAGCCCATCTCGCCATCCTTTCCCTCTCACCTCAAGCAGTAGATGTGTATCGCAAGGGACGCAGAAGCCAGAGAGCAAACAGGATATTGCATTACAGACGCTGCTGCTCAGATATCTGATCCTGACTCAATGGCGGGGCTGTGCTGAGGAGTGGCTCGTTGTCTTCCGCAGCAGCCAAGTCCGTCACACTGACCCTGGCCCTCGCGGCTTCCTCTGCTCAACCTGAGCCCTGTGGCTTCTGCCTGCCAGAGCTGCTGGGCTGTTCTTATGCAGCAGAAGGAGCAGGAATTTCAGAGTCTGAAAGACTTGGGGCCATCTCCCAACTCTGCCCCTAACTAGGGGTGAGATTGTGGACAAGTTACAGTCTTTGCAGCCTCATTTTCATCTTTGAAAAATGGGAAAGCCAATGGTGCATCCCACAGGCCATGTGAGAATGACACGAGGCTGTCCACCCAGGGCACCAGCACAGTGCCTGACACATGGGCAGCCCTGGGTTGCTGCTGCTGTTATCGCAGGCAGTACATCTGCTGGGGAGAACAGATACAGCTCTCATTCCACTCTCAGTGGTCTGCGATCCGCTCTCCTGGCCTAAAGGAGACTCAGAAGCAAAATTCTGCAAACAAGGATATTTGGATATCACCTAGAACTACTGGCATTTCTTTTGGGACCCAGCTATTCATTCCTTTTAACCAGAGCCATGGGGTGCAGCCCTCCCACTGTCCAAGTTCACAGCCAAGTCAGCAGGTGCAGGGCCTGTGAGCACCAGATACACATGGTGACAGTCATCCTGAGGTCCCCAGAGGGCTGCTCTGGGGGCCCACTCCATAGTCAGACCCAGGCTTAGCTGGAACTTGTGGCTGGGGGGTAAGAGTAGTAACATGCACATAATTCTTTACACCTATTCTAAGTACTTATCATGTGCCAGGAACAGGCCAAGTATTTCACATGGGTTATCTGATTCCCCTTCGTCCTAGCAGCCCGCCAGGAGGCCATCACCCGAGAGGAGTTCAGGTGAGGGCAGCCTCTCTCAGGATGGGGCAGACAGCTTTGTTTAAGTCCTGGAGAGAGGCTTCTGCTGAATGAATCATCCAGCTCTTCCCACATCTGCTAGTTTATTCAACAAACATCTGCAGAGTGAACATGGCGTACTGGGTCGCGTGTGTGCATGTTTTCTTCCAGAAACGCTGAGAGTGAGGTGGGAGTACTGTTGGGAGTGTTGTGGCTGTGCAGCATGCCCAGATCCTGGAGGGTGGCCCAGCCAAGAGTATGCACGTCCCAAGAGAACTGCAAGGGGTGTCAGCAGGTTATCAGGTCCTAAGGCCAAAATATGTCCCAGCCATGTGTGATTTTGGACAAAGTTCTTTCACAAGATGCTTCTCAGACTGTAAATATGTGAATATGCCTGGAAAACCTACACGAGTGAGGCATGAACGTGCAGCGTGGCCCAATCTGATTTATTGACAGTGCCCTTCACTCACAATGCTTCTCTGGAAATGCTTCTCTGTCACATCGTGTCCTAAACTGTGGCTGCTGGAGGGAGCAAGTTGGTGGAGTTGGGGCCTTCCCACAGGAGTCTGGTGGTGATGAGCAAGCCACAGTGATTTTCTGACCCATGAGCACTCTTCTGCAGATGAGGCCATACTGTCTGCGCCCCATCCATCCTTTCTTGAAGTTCCTCGCCTTGCCTTATCTCTACCATGATCTTGGTCTGCCTCTGCTTACGTCTCTA